CACGATTTTGCGTGTCATCCTTGCGCAGGGGCCATGCTAATCTTCTCTGTATCGTTCCAATTTTAGTATATGTCCCGCCGACACGGGACATACACCTTACCTACCAGTCCCTTATATACTCCCCACTCTGCCTCCTATTTCGCTGTTACAGTCTGTAACTCACAGCACATCGTTTCACTCATTGGCACAATTAGTGTACATTTTCCGCGATATCTGCACACATAATATCATGCATTCATATGTTGGCCATCGTTTCCGATCATTGATTTTGTCACTCATTTGGCGCTAATCCTCGAGAAAATCACTTTTGATTGCTTTGAAGGCATAGTGTTTGCCATTCAGTGAGTGTTTGTGTGGTTTGTTTCGTACAGAGAGTGCGCGAACTGAGAGAGCGTTGAAAGCGTTGAGCGAATGAATGCATTGTTTTGTGCCAACAGTTGATCCCATCTTTGGTGCCCACAAGCCGTCTTCGTGTCCATCCTATTGCCGCATATTATCCCACATTTGGTGCGTCGAGTGACCGTCGAGGGCGATGTCAGTGATGTCGGACTCGAACGCAGACTTAGACCGCGAGGACTCTTCCCACGAGAACGGCGGCGACTCGAGTGCCGGCGCTCTCGCCGACGACGAGCACAACGACTCCGACATCCATTCGGACACTAATGTTAACCACAGCGCCGACGCCTCCGAAGACCCCGAACTCGAGGCCATCAAAGCGCGCGTCCGCGAGATGGAGGAGGAGGCGGAACGGCTGAAGATTATGCAGGAAGTGATGAACGATGAGGACAAACACGACTCCGACAGTCCTAATGGTAGATATGAGACACTCATTAGCCTTTTGAACACTTCTAACGGTGATCTGTCTTCGTATCCAAAGCGAGCACTACTGGGATGTCTATCGAGGAGAAGATGGAAGTGGACGCGCGCTCTGTATATGTGGGAAATGTATGCAATGATAGCTCTTTTGTATTCTTTTACTGATATTGGATTCAATTGAATGATGACTTGAAATACATGTTAGACTTCTGAAGACTTTGATGTCATATTTATAACTGATTTATTGTATCAAATGAATCCTTTTATTGAGTTTTAAATGATAGACCAATTGATTGACTCTTTTGTAACTACCGGCAAATGACAGGTCGACTACTCGGCAACGGCTGATGACTTGGAGCGACATTTCCACGGCTGCGGATCAGTTAATAGAGTGACAATTCTTTGTGATAAATATACGGGACATCCCAAAGGGTGTGTATTTCACACTAATATTTAGTGACTGAGTGTTAAAAGAAAGCCGTTTTGTGTCCTTAGATTCGCTTATATAGAGTTCGCGGACAAGGATTCCGTGGAGACGGCGACAGCGCTCGACGAGTCGCTCTTCAAAGGCCGACAAATTCGAGTGAATTAT